TTGTTGAGCAGCTGAAATACTATATTAAACAAAAATGGGAAACATTTCACTTTCAAAACTACAGCGTTTGGTCTCCTCAGTTCCCAAATACTTACAGAGTGTTGAGAAAAGAAGATGTGATGAAACACAGTGGTAAACATGCCCCCGTCCCAACATTTTTGAAATGTGTTGCATGCATCAAATTCAAAATGAGCATGTATTTTTCAAACAACAATCAAATTTCTCAGTTTCAACATCTGATTAGTTATCTTTGTACTTTTTCAATTAAATATATACATACATACATACATTTTGCACAGCATCCCATCTTTTTTGAAAATGGGGTTGTATATGTGTTAGTGTTTCAGTACTGACATAAAACATGATTTATTATTTTTTTAGCATTCACCATTATTAAGGAGACACAGGTTTTGCACAAGTTATTGTGCTTTATTAAAGTGGTGTAGTCGGCCACAGCCACACCATACAACAAGTAAGGTTTACAGGTAACAGCTTGCTCTATACTAAGCTCACATCTGTACTCTCTCACTTCCAGCTCCAACTGACAAAATGCTTCCTGTTCTCACAAATATAAACACAGAACAAAGCAGGTGAGTCCCTCCTTCAGAATAAAAGTCAAAATAAATGCTGAAGAGCCAATACTCTGAAATTAACAGAGTAAAACATTAATGAACATGGTACAATATGATAATTATAGTTGTATCCATATTTTGTAGTTTTACATTTGAATTGCTGCAAGTATGCTTTTGTCTAACCAAATTTGCGCTTCACAACATTGCACAAGATCCCACCTCACTGGGGTTCTTCTCAAAGCAGAATTTTTTACAGTAAACTCAAGTAAAGATTGTTGAATATAAATATCCCTTAATTCTCATCCTATTATACAAGCTTGACTTTTATCTAAAAACATCCTGCTTCATCGAATAACCCCCAGGTGTTACTTGACTAGAATCAAGTGCCTCAAACGAAATACACTCTCCATTCCCAAGACTCCCTACACAGACTGATAAGTATTACTATGACATGTATCAGGAGCAAATTTAAGGAGAGTCTCGTTTGATTTGAATAATCAGAGTGTGACCTGTGAGTATCCTCTCTGCACCAAGTGAACCGTGAGAACTCATCTAGAGGCCAACTCCCCTCTCTAAACAGTGAATTTAAATCACCTAGAAATGGCCTGACTCAGAATGGTTCGTTGTTTTAGTCATCGCTATTCTCAGCGCGAATGTGGCAAGTCTTTCATCAGCACTGATTGATGAGCGCTAAGTGGTGTGCCATGAGAGTCTCCTCGGGACTAACCAGTGAGATCATTTTTTTAAAAAGGGCAACATAAAAAGAAAGCTAAAGAAAACAGTGTGGTGAAAAATCACACCCGTCACAGTGGTCTTCCTCCCCTCTCAGACTTTCCAGTATGATAAAACCAGAAGCAGGTATTAACAGAAGCAATCGTTGTCCTCTCTGACTCAACATGTACCGGTGAAGAGGAATGAAAATGGAGTTTGTGAGTGCTGCTTTAGGGCACCGGGGGGACTTTGACCTCTAAATGGAGACAGATTGGGTCCTTGGTGCCATCATGAAAGGTCTGTGTATATAAGTCATCAGTTTGGCTCTAGGTGGAGGTAATGATGGCAAACCTGAGTGTGTGTAAACTCACAGATGCGGCAAAGACTGTGGATTTAAAAGGGAACTGCTGTTAGTTTGCTTTGGCACAGTAGCAAACCTTGATTATTAGAGCTAGGCCTTCATATCGGGCCATATGTCAAAACTCGGTTGAAAACGAGTAAAAAAACAACTTCTGTAATGCTGATTTCTGCTAGGACCCCTATGAGATTTTAGTACTATGTAAGGGCTAAGCTAACAACGATTCACATTAACTTTTTTGTCCATTCTAGGTCAATCTTGTATATTGGAAACTTGTAAAAGACATTCCACGTTTTATTTGGAATTCATAACCAACAATAAGATATAATTTTACCTTCAAGCAATTTTGCTTGTCCTGGCATAAGGTTGCCACTGCTATTTCCCATTTCTAACATCTAAATATATTGCATTGGTCAGGTTACCAATGGTATTCAAAGTCAGTGATGTATCTAAGGCTTCCAGAAGGCCTAGAGTCATGCTTTTTCTCACAAAACTGGTCCTTCCCATTGTATATTAAAAAGACACTGGCTGATTTCATTGTCAGTTCCTAATTATGTTGTGGTTAATCTGGCCTGTTAGGTCTTTAGTTCAGCTCCTGAAGGCCTGACTAATGGGAGAGTATATACCTGGATACCATTGAGAAAGAAATCATTTGGACTCTGAAGGCCTGGAAGGCCTGAGGCTTCTCCACTGTTTTGGTGTATATTGCTTGCTTGGGCATTGGCCGTTATAAAAAGGAACATGTGCCAGCACTGGAGACAAACAGCTTTGTAGACAGCAGTTGTGGCAAACACAAATCAACCTGCGACTCCATCAGAAGACAAGAATAAAGCACATTAAGAGCCACTATATACACTACATAACATCACTTGCACACACTCCCACACTCCAGAGATAAACACAGAGAATACTATAATGGACCATAGTACTGTCTGCTCAGTATCCTGGGATTTTTTGTGCTTAACTCACTTGGATTTCTGGTTTTATGTTACTGAGATGTGTACAATTCCTCAGCCTATAAATACCTCAGCACTTTATTGAAACCACCATCTAACGGCACTGCATTAGTAAGACAGAAAATCTGGCACATCTCTTGCCTTTTATGCTGGATTTTATGTGGCATAAAGATAGGCCCAGCACTGCTACAAGAGTGTACTGGAGAGGCACACAAGTGCATTTTCATATTGTGGAACACTAGACAACTTCTCCAGTTTTAAGAGAGGTTTCTGCCAGTGCACTCAAAATGAAGGAATGCTACACCTGTACACGTGTTATGCTGTAAATGTCTCAAACTGTTAGGAAAACAGAGAAAAAATAAAGAAAGGAAGAAACAACACTAGATGTTTACCATTCATATACTTTCAATCAAAGATGAGCATAAGCACAGAATGTTATCTTTTATTTCTTCGCAATGTTTTCCATACATGGTTTTCCATACTGGTTTTTGTCACTTCGTTGTGCAAAGCAATTTCAGCTAAGCATAAGTATTTGGACAGGTATTAATGACAGATGATTGCTCAAGTGTTCCATGTTCCCCTAATTGTAAATGCATGAAAGAGCTGTGAATGTGTGGTGTTAGTTATAGTCATTTGGAATATGCATTAGGGGTCTAGTTTTGATGTAAAAAAAACAAACTGAAGGAAAACTAATGTAATAGCAAGCTATTTTGACATGAAACAACAGTTTGCAATATTTTGAAAATGAAAGAAGCTACTGGAGGTGTAAGCAATTTGTGATGATCAGGTCATCCTACAATGACCACAGCAGCTGATGACAGGAGCTTTGTTAGAACTGTGAAGTTCTGTAAAATCAAAAATATAACATTCACAGAAATAATAGCCAGTCTACAGAGTGCAGAGGTGAAAGTGTCAAGACTTCTTTCTCTTGAAGACTTGTAGAAGTCTTCAAGAGAAAGAACACAGAAGCTACGCTACAAGGTGCAAACATCTCATCATCACCAAGATTGCCATTCTGGTATCAGAAAGGACAAGAGCCAGTGGAGTTCTTGAGTAATGTTTTATGGACAGATGAGGTAAAGATTCATCCTTACTAAAGTAATGGGAAGGTCTGGAGAAAGAGAGTGACTGCAAATTATCCTAAGTGTCACTTTATCTGTTAACATATCTAGAGTCAATTCATTGTCCAAACAGTTTTGCTTCTCAGTGTAGTCACAGAAAGACTGTTTGTGTGAACACTTACAAATAAAAAGGGGAGGGAGGTTTCATCAAATGCAACATTAACATTTACAACCCATGTTTAGTGTACTTTGGGTTTTACAAGACAAATCAGTCTTCTCTCAAGCGTCAATAACTCCTACAAATCCCTATAAAAATAAATAATAATCAAGCCTTCTATTTTGACTAGCACTCAAAAACCACAGAGGTCGATCCTGTTCTTTCTGCCAGTATTGTATGGAAACACAGTTTCTTCTTGGAGAATGTGTCTCAGTCAGTGACAGAATCACCATGAAGTTTAAAAGCTGTCTGGCAAACTGAGTTTGTTCCAACTGCATTACATAATTGCCTGTAGAGAAAGATGAATAAACACACACGAGAATTATCTTTTGCTGTCACATGTGGGGGAGATGACACAGGTTATTTGTCTGTTTGATGCGTGTAGTTAAACACGCGCACACACACATAAACACACGCCTATTGGCAATTAGACCCATGTCTTCTACGTAATGACAGTATTTTGCAGAGTTGGGCTTAGGACACAGAATGTGTGGTCTGGCCGTGCATAGCAATTGAAATATACCAGAATCAAAGTTAGAAATCTGTGTTTATTAAAGATAAGGCTCCAGAATGTGTTTAAACTGAACTGCAGATCCAGACATTCCACTAAATCTCTGCTCACGATAGAGCTCACTGGACCACAGAGCTGGATAAGTCTTTATCAGACAAGGCCTGTATGCAGCTAAGCAGCTCATTCTTTCTCGGCTCAACAGGGTCCCAAATAGCAGTAAAAATAAAAGATAAGCCCTCACAAGTCACAAGAGACAGAAGAAAGAACACAAGACCTCAGATTTACTGCATAGGCTATGATCATAAATAAGAATCATAGAAATAGGCTTGCTTTTTTAAAATGGATAAAAATGAATTTGTGATTTCTCACATAATATAATTTATTTCATTAAATTAGTTAATTAGAAACAATATTTCTGGTTCTTCATGTTGTTGCTGCTGCTGCTCCTCTTGTTACAGTGCCTTTTTTCTAATAGATTTATCAGTTCGTGTGGTTTTGACTTTGTGCAAACGATCTTCAAAACATTCACACGAAAGATGCTTGAGAAAATGGTTTATAGATCAGCGATCCCGCACACAGCTCTGAGGCCGTTTGTCTCCAAGTATCGCGAGATCATACTCACTCGGCATGGCCGCTGTACAGAAGCTGAAGAGGTGTGCGGTGTCTCAGACTGGAAAACACACCGCCTCCGTCATCTTTCTTCATGGCTCAGGTGCCAATGTGTGGGCTGTCCGTGGATTTAAGAGCTGGAACGTGTGTTTTTTTAAATGAGTCGTACTTGCTTTGTTTACTGACAGGACTGGCAGTGTTACAGTACAGTCGCTAGCGAGCTAATGTCCTCTTTAATAGCGACCTCACAGTCACAGCAGTAATAGACTGGTACATCTTGTTTTCCCGCCTCAAACAGCAGTAATGGAGGGATTTTAACGATTTCTTACACAGTCGCAGTCGTGCTTAAGGCGCATGCCTGACTGCATTTAAGTCATGTGGCAAAACGGTTAACTTACCCAGTCTGTTTTTAATGTATGAACCTGTTTGAAATGCTGCGTGAAGGACAGATGATGTGAAGTGAGTCTGGATAAAGTCTGGGATCGTTGAGTCTCCCTACACTAAAACTCAGTTGCCTGCTATGAACTTTGCAGACTGCAGTCAGTTACACATTATTATTCTCAGAAAGTCTGGTCACACAGCCTACGGTTTCCTAAAACTGTCGACAATTATGGGTGAACTGTGTTCTACATTGACAAATTTTATGGCAGTAGGAGGTTAGATGTGTAAGACAGAGGTCTGGCTCTCTAAACATTCAGCACATTTTTTAGTGTGAATGACTTTTATCTTCAATCAAATAAAAGAATCGGAGAACATTAAGTACGTTACATGTAAAACTTGTAGACAGGTTGGACAGAACTAACTTAATAATAATAATGATAACAATAACAACAATAATAATGGAAATTGTAAATCACTTTTGATATGTAGAAATATATCTCAAGGTTATTCACAAGAAGTGTGCAGGTAGACCAAACATGAAAACAGTGAAAAGGAAATAAAGGTAAAACTACTTGTAAGCTGGTTCATATTTTAAAACTGACTGTATGGGCATATGAATGTTATATGTACATGTAGAGACCTTGTGTAGAATTTAAGCATTTATATTGTTATCATAAGCTAAGGGGTGTCACCAAATGAAGTTCTCTTTGAAAGGTCCAATTCTGTTTATTGCTTATATGTTCCACAAATCCCTAAACTGTAGATGTGATATGTTTTCATTTCTGACATGTTTTTGTTTCAAATAGCATCTAAATTTTGAAAGCACTGAAAGGCAAAACGATGAGAACTATTGACTTGTTTATGTTTTATATTAAAATAGATTCGCACTATGCTGTTGGATTCATTTCACAGGCTTGAGTGTTCTCAATGTGCACTTGACAACTTGAATAAACACTGAGGGGTTTTTGGTTTATCCATGTGATGCATTAACAGACCAGCTTGCTGTACTGAAATGACATTGTGTTTGCTCAATATGTTAGGAGACACAGGGCAGGGATTACGAGCATGGGTTCGTGATATTTTGACACAGGACATGGCTTTTGAACATATCAGAGTGATCTACCCTACAGCTCCAGCAAGGTAGATGACCATATTTACTCCTGATATGTCTCAGCATTACTTGTAATTATACATCTTTAAAACTGCTTAGTCACATGCTGTAGGTTATAGCTCATGGGTTTAGTATATTAGATTAACGGTAAGACACATACAGGCTTTTTGGTCTCTGTCTAGGTTCATGCTGAAGTTTCAGTCAAGTTTACTGTGTTTTTCTGATGCCTGTTTTGATCACTGTGATTCAGTTTTTTATTTGTATCTGGCTGTTCCTATTAACTGCTGAACTTTAACCTTGACGTCCAACTGTATCTTCTCAGGCCGTACACACCCATGAATGGGGCGCTGTCTCACGTGTGGTTTGACCGTTACAAAATCTCTCGTGATTGCCCAGAGCATTTGGACTCTATTGAAGAAATGTGCAGTAATTTAGGAGCCGTAGTCCAAGATGAGGTCCGAGCTGGTGTACCAAAGCACAGGATGGTTATCGGTATGGCCCTTTTTATTTATTTTTTTAAAGACCCTCCATGATCTCCTCTTCACTGCATCCCATCTCCCTTTCTGTCTCCCTTATTGCTTTACTCAGTCTTACATACTCTCACACATCACTTGTTCCAAATTAAAGAGAGTTTTAGGCCACCGCTCTTACATTGCTCCCTCTGTGTATAAAGTGAAGAATGAAACTTATCAAATTTCTTATTCCTTTCATATGTTGCCAATAGTGGGCTTAAAAAGAATTTCTGGACGATTCTCAGGTTTCTGCACAGCTTTATCTGAAAATATTTGAGTTATCAGGTTCACACATAAATCACTGTGAAATAAAAGTGGCAGGAAATAGTGCTGTAAGAGAGAATCATAGCCTAGTCCAGGTAAAGTTCCCTCAGGAAATGTGCAGGAGGTCGTATGGAGGATAAGTCACACAGAGGTTATGCATGTAAGCCTTGGCAGAGTGGTAAAACCAATGACAGTTGGGGAATGGTTAACTGTCGAGGCAAGAAACATATAAATACCCAGAAATACTTGAGTTAAATGTGAAAAGGGGAGAAAAAACAAAGCTTTGTGTGAAAGGCCCAGTGTGGAAGGACAGAAAAGCCCCTGAACTCGGTTCCAGAGAAACTGATTCAAAAAACACATGTTCCTGTGAGACTGCTGAAATATTATCTTCCTAAATCATAACATTTTGTCATTAACTATAAATACTCATTGGAGTCACTCCGCACGCTGGATAAACGAAGTGGTCTGTACCCTGAGTCCACTTCCCGGGCTGACGGACTGACAAGCGCCAGAACTTTCCATGGAAAACGTTTTTCAAGAGGGCGACCGTAGGCTATTGTGTATGTTTTTCAATCTTTTAGGTGTACTGATCCATGGGAAAAGCCCTGGAGAAATGAGGTATCAAACACACATGCAAGACTCCTCTAGCCAAACAACTAAGAGGTAGAAGACATGTGGAGAACTAAAGCTCGTTATTGGAGATGGAGCTGGAGATTTTAAAACGGAGAGACACACTTCGGTTGGGAGAGAAATCGACCTGTCGTTAATTAAGACAGAGTTCTTGGGACAAAAATGAACACAAATGCCCATGCCATCCCTGTCTGGTGGTTAAAGAACATGTGAACTCCATCTATCCTCTCTCAAGCACTGCTCCACCTACCCACTCTGACAGAGTGATGGCTACTTGTGCACTTTCCCAGATGTGCATTCAATGCCCAAATTTGCCCAGATGTGTGAGATTAAGGACAGGCTCGTGAAAGGGTTCCAGAGAAATGGAGGTTTGATGATGTGGAACTAAGGACTAGCTTTCATTTTCTTTCTCTTATTTGCTTCAGCTGCCAGGACATCGTAAGCTACTGTAGTCCATTGGAGTCATTTATTGTGCAACTTGTTTGTTTAGTAGCGCAAATATGAGTTTGATTCGTTTAATTTGTATTATAAAGCTCGTTTTCAGCACTTCTGACAATTTGTTGTAATTAGTTCTGGTTTCTCGTGCACAGTGTTTTTCTGTGAATCTGGTGTCTGTGTATTTTGGGCACAAATTTGTCACTTAACTTTTCCAGTGGATGAATCATCATATCACAGCCACACAGCATAATTAAATACAGCTGTTTTACATGTTGTTTTGCTGCCTGATGAAAAATGAATCCATCATTCAGCTGTAGCACTGCCTGAGACCAGCTTCATAATCTCAGTGTCTTTGTTTTGTCCTGGCAAGGCGGGTTCTCTATGGGTGGAGCCATGGCATTACACCTGGTGTGCAGGTACCACCAGGATTTGGCTGGAGTCTTTGCGTTGTCCAGCTTCCTCAATAAGGAGTCGGTTGTATATCAGGTATCAGTGTATTTTTTTTTGTTTTTTTTTTTTGGTATCATAAGAAACTACATGCAGTAAGGAGTTAATTCATTGTGGTTGGTGTTGACAAGGTGTGTTGCATTTCAAAGGCAAGCATGGACAGTTTGAATGATGCTAACCTAAATTCCAATTTGATTGGCCTGTTTATGGCCCCTGCTTGTTCTTTTGTTGGAGGAAAAAAAAACTCTTGATATATTATTCTTGCTTAAGTTTATTACTTACCAAATCCACAAACCTATTATATCTTGTGGTCAAATCTGGATGCACTATGTGGCATGTCCTTGCATGTCTTTCTTGGTATGAGACATATTTTTCTCAAACCTGCCTGCAGTTTGTGGTCCAACACAAAATCAGCTCCATGTATTCAAGCCTTCAAAGAAAACAATAAAAACATCCAACAAATTCCAAAAATACCAAACCTGCTTCTCCTTCTTCTTCTGTGAACAGTCTGTTGAAGATGCAGCACAACATCCCTTACCAGAGCTCCTCCAGTGTCATGGGACAGCTGATGAGCTGGTGTCCCACAGCTGGGGTGAGGAGACCAGCAGTCTGCTGAAGAAGGCTGGCATGACTACCACGTTCCACTCTTTTCCTGGACTCAACCATCAGCTCTGCCGGGTAGAAATGGAGCTCCTGCGCTCCTGGATCTTGAAGAAGCTTCCATCTGAAAACTCTTCCAGTGCTGGACACTGATCTGCACAACTCTCACTGTGTTACTCTGGCCAATTAATTTGTAATAAATTCTGTTTACTCTATCATGTTGTTTTTATTTTATCCTGTAATGTTTGTTCACGCTCTTAAATTGTGCTGCTAAGTGTGTTGCACCTGCTTGTGATAATTTGTTTGCTCTGCAACATTTGCAGTTTTTGCAAAAGTCGTTGTGTATAAGCGGGGGTTAATATAGCTGTAAAAATCTTTCTGTGGTGATTCTGATCTGCCCACATGTGTTGCCCCTCAAAAAAACAAAAAAAAAACCCTGCACTTATTGTGCACATTTCACAGCTGGCAGCACTAACCACATTAAAGTGCTGGCTGAAGCCAGCGCTGCAGTGCTGGGATGACTGTTTCGCCGAGCCTGCTTTGACTCATTATGGCTGTGGTCAGGCTGGAGCGGCAGGTAGAGCTATCACCGGAGAGCAGGAATGCCACTCGGCTCTGCGGTCTGGAGCTGGATTCCGACCCGTTTGACACCCTTTCCGTTTCCTGCAGAGTGTAGTAGCTCCATCTCCCTTTTCCTTTTTTCCCCCCAAACACCATTATCGTTCTTTCTCTTGAAATCTGCTGAACATGTGTTTCAAGGTCTGGTCTGTTTGCTTGGTAGGCTCGGGGTGTAACACAGTTTGCTTCATTAATGGTTATTGGGAGGAAGTGGTTAGTGATTTTAGTGTGTTTTGTTTAAGGTTGTGTGGACCTTTCCTTCAGATTATTCAGTGGGGCCACAGGCCAAGGCCAATACACCCACCCACTCTGAGCAGAGCTCAGTGCAACTGTTAAAGAACTGAGAAAAGTAAAGAACATTGTAAATGTATGTCTGTGTGAAAGTCACTGAGGGTTTTAACAGGATTTTCTATATACAAGAATCAATCTATATACAAGAATACATTATCAGACCAGGAGTACCACATTTTGTGCCAAAAGTTTCATATGAAATCCACATGCAAAATATAAAGTATTAAAATGTCCAAAATATGTTGAAAGTAGAAATAATGAGTTACTACTCATTTTCACTCATTCTGACATAAGTTTTTGCTTGAATTTGTTTCTATTTAATTTTGCTGATATATTTTTTGCTTCTGTGATCGCTTTTACTTCTGAAATCGCTCTTTTGTTTCGTACTTTTGGCACCTTTTAACAGGGGGCGTGTCTTAGAAGAGGGTGTTCATTTGCACTCTCTAATGGTCAGCTGATTTGGAGTGACAGGTCTGAAAACGTAGCCACACCCACTGCGTGAGCTGTGATCTGCCTCAAACTTGGCAGAGCGCTTCATATTGAGAGTAGTCTTGCCAGAGAGGATTGCGCTGCTATTTGTCATAACTGATAATGTAACACATGCTGAGGGTCCCATATCAGCCTGTGTAAAATTAGAAATTTAAGTACATCAGGTAAACTTTGCTGTTTGCAACTGTTAGCGCTACCTAGCCTAGCAGTGTCTGCTAAAGAGCTAACTAGGCCAGCTGTGCAACTGTGTAAATCAGGGTTTATTAGCCCTGCAGCTCCACACGGTTTCAACTATTCTTTTCATTAAAACACCTGATCCAGCTCATCAACTGATTATCGAGCCCTTAATGAGCTGAATCAGGTGTGTTGGGTCAGTAACTCGTTATATCTGCAGTGCTGTGTGGAGGGAAATAATGCAGCACTGACCTAAATGCAGTGAAGAGTGGAAAATACCTCAGATTACTGCCAGCTATGAGTTACTTCTGCCGTGAGATAGTTGAAAGACAGTAATGTTTAATCTCTACAAAAGGAATCAAGTCAACTTGTCATGGTTTGCTGTACGTTCTAGGGGTTATGAAGGCTGTTATGTCAGTCTTTTGTCATTTTTACCCACAGAGTGCCTGTGTCAGTCACTAAAACAGGCTTCCTAGCCCCATTATCAGCATGACTAGCCTAGTTAGCTGGATGACACTGCTAGGCTAGTTAGTTCTAGCATCTGTAAACTCGAAAGGTGGTGCAGCTTCATTCAGTCATAAACAAATTAGTTTGTTCTTTAACACTCAAATTAGTTTATATCATTTTACACAGGTCAACACACCTAAATTTGTGTAATATTAATATTTTAAAAGAATAATGAAACCTTTCTCATATTGTTGGATATGCCAGTAATACACTGTGCTCATAACAGCACTTAGTACGACATGTTCCGCCATGCTGAGGTGGTTCATTCTGCGTGGTTACGTGTTCAGAAGACATGTTACTTCAAATTAGTTGACCCATAGAGAGTGCAGGTGAACGCTTCTTTTAGAACCTGTCCCCTGTCAGAAAGTACCAAAAGTCAGAAGCAAAAAATATATCATCAAAATCAGCAAATAGAAACAAATTGAAGCAAAAACTGGCAAAATGAGTTATACATTTATTTCAGAATGAGTGAAAATGAGTAGTAATCTTTTTGAAAATTAAGTTTAATTTAACTCTCATTATTTGCAACATATTTTGGACATTTTGATAGTTAGGGTTAAGTTAGTTTGTGGATTTATTTCGGATTTTATTATTTTACTTGAAACCTTTGGCACAAAATTAACTCTATTCAGGAGCACTATCCCCTGGAGTCATCTAGACAAATGTATGGTGGAAAATGAATGGTACCAGGAGTTTGAAAGATGAGGATCTATCTGAAGGTCAGGAACATTGTATACAACCTATGAAATACATAAACTAAATGCTAGCCATCAGAGTAAATAGCTCTATTGACTCCTCTGACAACCTCTATGCACAAACACTGGAAATACTAGGCTACTCATTTATATATTTCAATTTGATGTACAAGTCATAATCCGTGCTGGAGAAAATATGAGCTACCAGCAGCGCGACTGAGGCTGTAACTCACCAGAAAGTCTTACCCAAATTGTTTCACAATTGAAAAGAAAATGTTTTGCATTTCATTACATCACTTCTATGCCCTCTTTCATTCCAGCATATAAACTAAATGGCCAAAACAGTTTGGCAATGGTAGTGTCATGTTTTACAGCGCCAATAAGGCCTGTTAAAGTGAATTAAGTTATGAAACTTGCGTAACATCCTGTCCTTTGCACTACTATTTGAAGAGCGCTAACATCTTGCATGTGAGCCCCATATGTCCAAAGCATTGTGCTTTACATGAGCATTATGTGTTCAGTTTAAACAAAGCTAAATTGCAGGAACACTATCTAAGCTATAGCCTTAGCCTTAAATGATACACATGGTAACTAATGATATTCTCAATATATATTTCCCCTATTTATTTTTTTCTCTCTTTCTCTCTCTCTCTCTCTCTCAGCTCCAGCTGTGCAAGAAAGAATGCTACAGTGGAGCAGCCAGCAGCAGCTCTCTCCTCGTCTGCCTCACAGCCTCCCACACTCTTCCACGCCTCTTCACTCTACCCCATCCCTCACTCTCTCCCTCCTTCGGCACACCTCTTGCACTCCCTTCGTTCCTACTGTTAGGGAGCTGGGGCCGGATTGGAGTACAGACATTTTTATGATTTAATGACAGGAATAGATGGGGGTAATGAAGAAGGCTCCTCAGCGTCTACTCCTTATGAGGTGAAATCAGGTGAGGAAATGAATGAATGTCAGTGTCTTTAAAAACCGCTATCCATAATAACGAAATTACCTTCACAACAAAGCACCGGTGAAGCTTTTGTGGTCTGTGAAATGTCAGGGTGACATCAGAACCTTCATTACTTTCTCATCCCTCAGAAGAATTGTTTCATGCAAACTATTGACAATATCAGTACTCTTCAATTTCAGTAAACCTCTCTTGGCCGTGTTTTTCCAAATGACATGACCTCCTTATATTTTCTCATATTACACTCCCTGTTTCTTAATGCACATGTCATAAGGAGCCTACCCTTGTCTTTTGAGGAACCCACCTTTCTCTAAATTGCATTTTGTCCACTTAGATGATAATCTGCTTCACAGCGCATGTGTCAGATGGAAGGAATGCTAATCTGGAAGAGGTGCAGAACTTGGGCTTTTTGGCAGCCAGTTTCCACTGCACACTACTTTCCATGTGGTGCCGCTCCAGAAGCCTGGAGAAGCCTGTTTGGGGAACAAAGGTGTTGACAGAGTCCAGATTGCTCCACTGACCACACCCCCATTAGAAGGGTCACATCTCTGCTGGACAACTAACCCTCAACCCATGATAGCAATCCTCTGTCAAACTATGAGCAGAAGTGACAGACTACATCCAGAAGACATTAGCCTGCCGATTTAGAATCCAGGAGTGCATTAAGTGAACTGTAGATCATCTGAATGAGTCAGACACTCGTGTAATCACCAAACACAAAGTCACCAGACTTTCACCCTTGAGTTGAGGTTTGTAGCCCAAACAATAGTTTATTTAAATCATATGTCAGACTGTGCATACTGAAGTTTTTCCTGCTTTGGCTGCTCTCACTTGCCCTAAACTTCTGAGTGCCCTTTTCTACTCTCGTCAATCAGTCTGGAGGATATGGAAGAAAAAAGGACTTACAAGGAGCTTCATCACCTGCATTCTTTACAGAGTTTTGGGTTTGAGTACCTTTAGAATGTTCAGGAGCTCATGGTGACGTTTCTGAGAAGACTCGCTCTGGAGGAGGCTGGATAATATGGTCTGGAATGTGGTGAGTTGTACAGCTAGGGCATCTCTAACTTGAATTTCCAGGCTTTTGTATGACCTTTTAATTTTTGAGAAGCAATTGATTCATGCTTTCTAAAGTCAGAAGGAAGGGGAAAATGGAGCAAAAGCCCCCTTCCTCCACCCCTAAGAACAGTGTCATTTACTGTAAAGTTAAACCATGTCTGTGCATGAGAGTTTCATGAACAGGATGATGATGCATAAAACTCTATACTTTTTGGGGAAATGAACTGAAACAGCAGTCATTTTTGTTTTTATAGCACAAAAACGGAAATTTTTAAGCAAGCATACCTGGGGTGGAAGGATCCCCTGGGAAATTTTACATAAACTTGTCATTTAAGTTTTAGTCTTAGTCTAGTCTTTGCATTTTCTAAAAATGTGTTATTCAATCAAAGTGGCACACAAAAGCTAACTTTAATTTTAAACTAAAATTGAGGTC